TACATCTATAAACATGGGCAGCACAGTGGCTAAATGGTTAGCACTTATGCCTGGCAGTACTAAAGTCGTTGGTTCAAATCCCAACCACGGCACCCCCTGCTTTGAATTTGCATGTTCTCCCTGTGCCTGTGTGGGTTTTCTCCGGGTATTCCAGTTTTCTCCCACACTCCTTTGGTTTGAGTTACTATTGGTGTTATACCAATGTTTTTGTCATTTATGTGCCATTGATAGCCTCTGCATGGGCGCACCTTTTGCTCTGTTGGTGTTAGAGCACTGTTTTTTTAAAAAAAAATTTATGTGCAGTTGATATCCCCTGCGTAGTGTTCCCCCACTAGAAGGAATAAGAAACATAATCAAAGATTTACAACCCATCATAACAGAGGATGGAACTCTGAAAGAAATATTCCAGCAACCCCCAATACTAGTCTTCAGACAACCCCTCAACCTCAGAAATAAACTAATCAGTTGGCAACTTCCTTCTGATTATGATGTCACAAATAATGGAAGCAAACCCTGCAATAAAAAACGCTGCAAACTGTGCAACCAAATCAATCCATCAAAAAGTGTCAGACACTCAAAAGGGATCTTCAATATCTCCGGATCATACAGCTGCACCTCCAGTAATGTTGTGTACCTTATCCAATGCAGAAAATGTAGCAAAGGATCTTATGATGGTGAAACAGGACAGAAGTTGCAAACAAGGATGAATTTGCACAGAGATACCTTCAAGGAACATAAAGAAGATGACATTTGCACACCTGTGGGACACCATTTCGCACAACCAGACCACATTATGGAAGACTTCAATGTTTTAGTTCTTAAAAGGAAATTTCAAATCTATTCAGGAAAGAAAAACTTTTGAACTAAGAATAATTCTATTTGACACAAGAGATAACGGCCTGAATTTGGACATGGGATTCCTCACTCATTATCCAACGGTTTTATGACTATCAGCTCAAGCATGCCTGCCTCTGCTAGTGTTGTCTCTCCCCCCACCCCCATACTTTGCTTTTGCTGTATCTTATCTCTGTTTTTTTTTTTTCTCCCATCCCCTACATCTCTTCCAACATTCTGCTAAATCTTTGTTTCAGTACTGCTTAGACCTGAAAAAGGGGACATTCCCCGAAAGCTTGTCCTCTAAATTGTATGTTAGTGCAAATAAAAAAAAAGTATCACGGACAGTACTCAATTGTTCCTGTCATATAATAAAAGAACAAATTTCAAGGAGCGGATACTGCATTTATTTTTTAATATGCACCCCTGCTACATTTATACACTTATCCCAGTGTTTGATGCCTGGAAAGCTTCTGCATTATTATTATTATACAGGATTTATATAGCGCCAGCAGTTTGCTTAGCGCTGTACATTATAACGGGAGACAGTACACGAGACAGTACAGTAACAATACAATTCAGTACACGAGGGGTTCGAGGGCGCTGCTCCTTGGAGCTTACAATCTAGGAGGGAGGGGATAGTCGTACAGGAGGAAATAACTGTGCGGGATGGAGTGGTAGGAAGAGTGGAGGAGATCGGCAATTAGCTGAGGGCGGGGTAGACTTCCCTGAAGAGATGGGTTTTCAGAGTGCGCCTAAAGGTGAGGAGAGTAGGTGATAGTCTGATGGATTGGGGTAAGGAGTTTCAGAGGATGGGGGAAGCCCTGGAAAAGTCCTGGAGATGGGCATGGGAGGAGGAGACCAGGGAACTAGAGAGTAGGAGGTCTTGTGAGGAGCGGAGAGTATGTTTTGGGTGGTATTTGGATACCAGATCGGTGATGTAGTTTGGGACAGTATTATGAACAGCTTTATACGTCAATGTTAGCATTTTGAATTTTATCCGTTGGGCAATCGGAAGCCAGTGGAGGGATTGGCAGAGGGGGGTGGTGGATTCGGAGCGGTTAGTAAGGTGGATGAGTCTGGCCGCAGTATTCAGGATAGACTGAAGCGGGGATAGCCTGCGGTGGGGTAAGCCAATGAGGAAGGAGCTACAGTAGTCAAGTCATGATATAATAAGGGAGTGAATGAGTTGCTTAGTGGTTTCCGGGGTTAGGAACAGACGTATTTTGGAGATGTTGCGGAGGTGAAGTCTACATGAGTTTGTCAGTGAATGGACCTGGGGTTGGAAGGACAGATTGGAGTCTAGGATGACACCTAGTCCTCTGGCTTGCGGGGGTGGGACTGATGGTGGTGTTGTTGGTCTTGATGGAGAAGTCAAGGGGGGGGGCGCGGGCTGGGGGGAAAACTAGGAGCTTGGTTTTGGAAAGATTTAGTTTGAGGGAGTGGAGTGACATCCAATCCAATATGTCGTTCAGTAGGCTTGTGATACGGGCAGGGACTGAAGGGGTGAGATGAGGGGTAGAGAGATAGATTTGCGTGTCATCGGCATAGAGATGGTAGTTGAAGCCGTGAGAGTGTATCAATTGGCCAAGGGAGGAGGTGTAGATGGAGAAGAGAAGGAGCCCGAGAACAGAACCTTGAGGGACCCCAACAGAGAGAGGGAGTGAGGAGGAGGTGGCAGCGTTATAGGTAACACTGAAGGAGCGCTGTGATAGATAGGAGGAGAGCCAGGAGAGAGAGGAGTCTCTGAGGCCAAGAGAGTGTAGTTTTTTGAGGAGGGAGTGGTCAACCGTGTCGAAAGCCTCGGAGAGGTCGAGGAGTAGGAGCACTGAATAGTGGCCTTTAGCTTTGGCAGTTAGCAGGTCGTTGGTGAGTTTGAGTAAGGCAGTTTTGGTGGAGTGTAGGGGGCGGAAGCCAGACTGTAGGGGATCAAGGAGGTTGTTGTCGGTGAGGTGGGAACTCAGGCGATTATAGACTAAGTGCTCTAGGAGTTTGGATGTAAATGGCAGCAGGGAGATGGGTCTAAGGTTGTTCAGGTCGGTGGGATCCAGGGAGGGTTTTTTAAGTATGGGAGTGATGTGCGCATGCTTTAGAGGGGAGGGGAATGTGCCAGTAGAGAGGGAAAGATTAAAGATGTGAGTGAGGGAGCGTAGGATGGAGGAAGAGGGTGATCATAGGAGTTGTGAGGGGACAGGGTCAAGGGGGCAGGTGGTAAGGCGGGCTTCAGAGAACACCTTAGTGACCTCTTCAGTGGTAACAGGGTCAAAGGAGTGGAGTGTTGAGGGGGTATTAGTGTGAGGAGTGCTGGGTGGGGTGGAAGTCTGGGCAGTGGCAAGGTCGAAGGAGAGGAGTGTTGAGGGGGTTTTCGTGTGAGGGATGCTAGGTGTGGTGGAAGTCTGAGCAGTGGCGATGTCCCTACGAATTGCGTCGATCTTGTTTCTGCATAGAAAGATTTGTAAGTACGCCTGAACCATTATAGGACAGCCTGCTTCACTTCGTCATCATTGTGTTCACCATTCCAACAGAAAGATTAGTCTCTGGGGCAATTTCACAACAGTTATGTGTTGTTGATTATCCAGGATCAGGCGTTCCATGTGCTGAATGTTCACAGGAATGACTGCTGTGGGCTGGGAACCACCACGGCCATGATTGTCACTGACAGTCTTACGGCTATCTTTGAAATGTTTACACCAATCAAATGTCTTACTGCGGCTGAGCGTCTCATCACCATACTGTGTTTGAAGTTTTCTGTAGATATCCGTGGGTTTTACACCTTCGTTCACAAGAAACTTCACCACCAAACGCTGTTCCATGCAGGCACTAACACTGTTGTCTGCCATCTTGATTAACTATCGCTGGACTGGCCATGTGTGCCACCCATCATTTGCCACTCACTACTGCAGGTAGTACAGCCATGCTGGCATTCCTTTTTATACCTGTAAAATTAAAAGTCCGGTTTGACTTGAACGCTCCTTCTATTTCAATAGGAGGCTGTAAAAAAGATGGGGAAGCCACACAGCCAAGATCTCAATGGACCCGATAAGTGAAAGACTGATAGATGGGGGGGAAGGGGGTTAAAACAATGGGGTTGATGTTCTAAAGGCAAATAGGCAGTTCAGTTTGCATGGGAATTTTCCCTTACCTTTGTAAATGTGAAAATTCACTTTGCAAAGAATACCAAATCATATGCAAGGAAAGAAAAAATATCTTTTTGCTTGCACATGACTGGATGGTGGATGCCAGCAGAGCTTCTCCTGTTTTACTAATGAGCTAAGGGACATTTCCTTGAAAAATGAACTGTCTATTTGTCTTTAGTAATTCAACCCCAACAATTGTAAAACAAAAAGGGAGAATATTTTAATTTGCACCACACAGTTGTCTTTAGTACAATGCAGCTAGTAGATAAGTTAAAAATAGTTAATAATAAAAGAAAAAATTGGTCCGTCAAACTGGCGACCCTCCAGCTGTTGCCAAACTACAATTCCCATGAGGCGTTTCAAGATTGACAGTTACAAGCATGACTCCCAAAGGCAGAAGCATGATGGGACTTGTAGTTTTTTGCAACAGCTGGAGGGCCACCAGTTTGACACCCCCGCGTGTAGTTCCTACCATCTTGCCCTTCCTGTGACCCAGCCTGGTGATAGAAGAATACATCATGAAGCCAGTCTGAAAACTGAGATCCCTGACCGGTTCCTGACTGCAAGGGAGCAAAGTGTCCACATCAGCAGGGGGAGGAGCTATAGTGAGCAGGGCAGGGTTTAACTTTTGACTTTACCCAAAGTCAAACTTTATAATAGATTTGCAGCGGGTCCTATAAAGCATACACAGCCATAGTATGCAGAAAAGAAAAACTGTTTTGGTAAATCCTCTTTATCCTCTGATAGATCTTAAGATTAGCTCTACCCTCTGCTTGCAGCAAGATTTTGGACATCAAAGTCAGTAGGATTCAAAGCAGGCATGTCAAACTGGTGTTTAATGGGCCATGTGCACTCCTGCTTCTACTTCCCTCAATGATTTAATGATTGAAAAAACGAAAGGTGCCCCCAGCTGTTCTCCAGTTGATGATAGATTACAATTCCTTTTAATATTTGTATAATTAAAAATATCTAATTTTACTAGGATTAAATATGCTAAATTGCAATTTTTACTATAATGTTAAAGTGTTACTAAACCCACAACAATAAAATCAGTTGTATATGCAGTAAAGCATGCTTTTTACGGTCACTGTGGAACCTAAGGGATTAATCCTCTGCATTGTGTAAAAACGCTGTTTGATCCTGACTTCTCTGATCCTCCCCTTCTTCCAGTGCCCCCTCTTATCTCCTGATAAGACATATTGTGTGGAGACACCCTGCACATGCTCAGTTTGGTGTGTATTGCTAGAAAGGTTTTTTTTTTTTGTCTTGGGAGAGTGCATGTGATCAGCACAGGGCCAATCAACACTGTAAAGCCAGAGGTCAGGGGTTCCGCATCCTCCTAGAGCAAAATGAAAAGTCCTCCTACAAGCTTTAACTTGTGCTTGGCTGGACACTAATAGAAGTCACAAGACTTCTCTTACTGTTGATGGAAAAGGTATTTAGCAGTTTATATTTAGTAAAATAAATGCACTTCCATGTTCTGTGTACTGTGGGAGACCAGATAGAATGAATGCAGGCTCCTGGGTTTGGTAGCACTTTAAGTTCCTGAAGTGCCATGCATTTTTTCAGGATTAAATAGATGTAGCACTCAGTAGAAATAATGTGCCCCCACGAAGAATAAGTGCTCACAATTCGGGCCAATGTTCCATCTGAGTTTGACATGCCAGATTTAAAGTGTTTTTCTTGTTATTCTATAATAAATGCAATGAACGCTATGTTGAACCATCAAAAACAAAAGTATGCTCATTATGCACTTCCAATGACTAAAGATAATCTTCTTGACTTGTTTATATTGTCATGCCTGCAGCTAGATAGACTTTCTACCTTGCAGGAACCAAACTAGCCATCCAACTAGTTATTCTTGATGTATAGTGACAGGATATGTCCAGAAGTGATCAGGGAAGTATTGTGCAGAGCCTGGACTCACCTTATCCATCTGTCTCGCATCACTGAGTTCTAACAGAAGAGACATGTAATGATGAAGTGCATGCTAATCTTGACATTCTTCACAAAAATTCATATACCGGTACTTTTCATTAAAAATACCCATCATATAAGCATGGAATTTAAAACCTGGAAAATGCCGTTGGCTGTTTATTATACAGTATGGATATTTTTTGATAAATCCGAAGCAAGTTTTCATAAATGTTGCTAGATCCAGTTTTTTTTTTTTGTAACAAGGTGACACATATCAAGAAACATAGGACATAGGTGTTGACAGCTTCCTACTTTACAGTAAATGACCAACCTGTGGCTGGAATTTTATGGGGGAGTACAACTGGGGGAATCAATGGTGGAGAAGGATCTGGGGGTACTGGTAGATCACAAGCTTAACAATGGCATGCAATGCCAAGTTTCAAAAGCGAGCAAAATCCTCTCTTGTATTAAAAGAGGTATAGACTCCAGAGAGAGATATAATTTTACCCCGGTACAAATCATTAGTACCACCTCATCTGGAATATGCAGGTCAGTTTTGGGCACCAATTCACAAAATGAACATTAGGTAACTGGAGAAAGTACAGAGAAGGGCAACTAAACTGATACGAGGCATGGAGGAGCTCAGCTATGAGGAAAGATTAGAGGAACTGAATTTATTCTCTCTTGAGAAGAGGAGATTAAGGGGGGATATAATCAACATGTATAAATACATCAGTGGTTCATATAGTGAACTCGGTGTACAGTTATTCACCCTGAGGTCATCACAGAGGACAAGGGGGCACTCTTTACATCTGGAGGAAAAGAAATGTAATCTCCAAACACGCAAAGGTTTCTTCACAGTAAGAGCTGTGAAAATGTGGAATAGACTCCCTCAAGAGTTGGTTCTGGCCAGATCAGTGGATTGTTTCAAAAAAGTCCTTGATTATTTCTTAGATACACAGAATATAACTGGATACTAACAATTATAGGTAAAGTTGATCCAGGGGGAATAAGCAATTGCCTCTCGGGGGATCAGGAAGGAATTTTTTTCCCAGCATGAGCAAATTGGATCATGCTTTGCTGTTTTTTTTTCCTTCCTCTGGATCAACTGTGGGTATAGGATTATAACTTTTTTTTTTTCTATGGACTTTTTGTCTTTTTTTCAGCCAGACTAACTATGAAACCCCACAAATGCAAGACCAACAAAGAAGAGATAAGCCAGTCCTGTGATATTGGAAGCTGGCTTAACTCCTACCAATAAAATGTGCTGGAATGTAGAATTTCCTACAAAGTGCAACATCACAAGATGTTTACATGATGAATGGCCATTCTGAATTACTGGAATGGCATTGGAGTCATTAGCTATAAGCGTACAGCTTTCAAGGACTGACCAATGGCTTCATTTTAAAGGGTTATTAGAGGAAAGTTCCAGTCACACACCCTTACAGGAGTTTCTTAGCATTCTTCTGCCAAAAAAGAATATACTTCACTTTCAGCCTTCTGGCTTTCTCTTGCTTCACCTCTACGCTGGCCTTTACAGCCTTCATGATCTTGTCTGCCAAACCAGCCTCCTGTCTACCAGGTGGAATCCTGAACTGTAGTAGGCTTCCATAACATAAACCCTGGGCACACCAGCGCAATCAAAAGATGCTGTTTGTGAGCAAAAAGCGGACCTAGAGTTAGAGGCTTCATCTCAACCTAAACTCGCCAAAGCCTCTGGGCTCTAGGACCCAGACCAGGACTTGCCAATACTGGAGAAAATGAAAGCCACCTTCTCCTTATGACATGTGCATTCTTTAACCCCTCACCTTGTACGGGTGAGAACCAGGGGCGGACTGACAACTCATGGGGCCCCCGGGCAATAGGGGATCATGGGGCCCCCTGTGTCCTTGCCCAAACTCAAAAAAGCCTATGAAAAAAAAGGTACCAGGGGCTCATGGGGCCCCCTACTGACCCCGGGCAGTGCCTGAGTTTCCAAATGGTCAGTCCGCCTCTGGTGAGAACCATAGGTGAGATCAAACTGGTTCTTGCGATTCATCACCTGCGCAACTACAACCTAAATGTAATTTTCACAGTTACATGGGCCCTGATTCACTAAGATGTGAGTCTACTAGCAGAGTCTGACCATTCAGGCAGACTCCGGTCAATCAATCAGTCGTCTGACCAGCGTCTAGCAAGCTCATTAACGAGCGTCTACTGACTACTTTGCTATTAGTAAATGTGGTATCCCGTCTGGCACATTTTTAGGTGCAATACCGGATATGTTCGCTAGATGGCGCACAAGCGCGGGCTTTATTAATATTGGCGTTTTTATGATGGCAAAAGAGAATTCTTAGAATGTAATAAATAGTACACCTGTATTAGAATTTTCTATTTTTTTCTATTTCTTTTTTTTTGCTGTTTCTCCAAAATGATCAGGAAACTAATGCATTTACTAATGAATGTCATACATTCTATTTTCAAATGTTAAACATTTTCACACTTATATCTCAAATTTTGGATAGTTCTAGTTTCCTAATATAATGATATATCTTCCTTCTCTGTAATCATGTAACTATTCTGTGTTAAAGACAAGTGCAGCGCTATAAATGCATGTGATCAATAATGAACGCATGTAAAAACCAAAAAGTGCAAAGAATTGCAATAATGATGTAAACTGGTAAATTTGTGCTAAAATAAGTTCATATAATCATTCCTGAATAATGGAATGTCCTTCGTGTGAGAGTACCAACTCAGAGAGTGCCTATGAATGGCACGTGTGGTCTCTCCGTGACGGACAGTAGTGCATGAACTCGTGAAAGGTAAACCACCCTTGGGACTGGTCTACACTCACCAGAACAAAAGTATTAATGTGCATGGGTTATACACATCGCACATCTGGGGGGCAGCGGTATGCTGGCAGCTATGGGTTAGTCATCCAGCTCCAGCTCATCCATCCATCCATCAGGGTGGGTGCCCAAATGGTCCTGGGGAGGAATTAGCTCAGCCACAGGAGCCAGAAAGGTGCTTAATAGTGTAGTACACTGTCACAGGGGTGGATGACCTTTCACGAGTTCATGCACTACTGTTTGTGGTTATATTTATCTTGTGTAATACCATTTTACTAGTCTATATCATTTGACCAGCGCTTGCTTTATCATTTTTAAACAATGTAACTATTCTACATTATAGCTCAAACTGTGTCTCCCACAGTGGTTTAGTGGTTAGAGCTCAGAACTTTACAGCACTTGGGTCATGGGTTCTAATCCCAGTCTTGGCAACATCCCAAAAAAATGGAGATCAATTTTCTGGGTTGTGGCAGGAATATTGATCAATCAATTATGATTTTGCCTAATGACTAGAAAGTGGATGAATGTTACTGCGTACTGTTCTTCTGCCAATTAGGAAATGTGCAAGTTTCATGCCGTGTATTATTTCATTGTAACATTGTAACTTTTTTCTCTTTTAAATCTGTCTCCTTATACAACTTGACCCCCTCCCCCCCCCACCCCATCATCACCTGTCCCATATGCAAATCTATGGATCACCGCCCCACTCTTTTTAACTATTATTTACTGATCAAGTGAATGTGTCTCATTTTTCTATCAGCTACAGCTCAGATCTCACATTATTATACGATTGCTGATTGTATATCACCACTAGTCTGATTGAATTCACAATTCCTGGTCAGTCCCGTTCCCTGACCTCTAATAACCTTTAGGGGGCCAGTTCACACTACATGTGTTTCAGTTGCTTTTTCGGCATCACAAACGCACAGAAAGAAGGTTATATGGTTGTCAATGTCATAGTTCACATCAGCGCTTGCATTTTCAATGCATTGCAGGTGCTGTAAACAAAGTTGACCACGCTGCATTGTTTCTGCACAGAACTGTACTGGAACACATTGAAACATCCTTGAATGTACTAAAGCGCACATGTCCCTAACTACATTGAATACAAAGAAAATAGAAAAAAATAAGTGGAAGGGATACAAAAATGCAATGTCAACGTGTCCAAAACGCATCCAAAATGTACTGGAACACACTAAACATGCATGCCAAAAGGGCATGAAAAAAACCCATCAGGAACACATCTAGACTGTTTCTATAGTGTGAACTGGCCCTTAGGACTTGTTCACACCATTGGTGGTGCAGAAACGCATGCAAGAACACACATTTTCCAGCACAGCAAAGAAATGAATGCAATGCCCTCTGTAGATGTGCGTGCAGGTACCATGATGAAAACGTTATTGCACCTACACACGTCTATTAAAAACAGCCCCATTCACAGCCACAAAAACGCATGGCACCACACTACTGTGCGGTTAGGTGCAACACACTTGGAAAATAACATGCCTGCAGTATTGTGGCATGTTTCCACATGTTAAGCAGCCCATTGAATTCAATGGGCTTTGGGAAAAAATAAATATAACAAACACAAAATGCCACATTCACACAGGTCCTCTGACCTGTACAGCATGAATGAGTGGGTTGTTTATGTGGCTAGAGCCACCTGTTACACTATGGGGACACAGCAGCTGTATGAACACAGGTTTTAATCTGACAAGTGTGAAGGCGTGGGGAAGTGGCCCTGAATGCTCACTGTCTGTGTTCAGG